GCATTTTAAAATGCTGACTTCGAATTTTTCAATAATAACAATGGCAGGGAATTTTATCTCATATGGATTCAACTGGGGCATTTCCCCATCAAGACAGCAGTGGCGTGGAGTGTGTTTGGGGACACACATTTTTCTATCCCCGTGCTGTGCTTCCTTTAGGACTGTAAAATTTCCTCATGGAGGGAGGTGGGAGGCTCAGTAAATATATGAGAAACTTAAAGACTCACCAGGTCCCTCCCCAGGATCCCATCAGGAGCAAATAATTGCTGGTAGAGATGAGACCCTTCAGCGCTGTAACTGCCTGACTGTTTCTCAGAGAAGTTTTGGGGTGCAGATTTGGTGAGTCTTTATCTGTGCTGAGGTGGGGCTTTGTGGTGACACAGCTGTTAGTAGGTGGCTGCAATAAACCCATTGCCTCCCCAAGGCGGACTCAGACAGAACTGTGTCTGGTCTGTCATCCCTCCCCTATGTGGAATGGAGAGACACATTCCTGAGATGCTTCGAGGCAGTTTCATCTGAATTGAAACCTTACCTCTCCTAAAAGGAGGTTCCTTAAGACTCAGAAGGTAAGTGAAATAATTGTAAAGTAAAGCTCACAAGTCTCAGGAAGTTCCTGAAGCTTACAAGACCCACAAGGCTTTTCCCAAGATTATGCAAGCAGTTAAGGATTGCTGGGGAGAGAAGACTCTGGCCTCTGAGCTGCGTTGCAAGTCCTGAAGAGAGCTCCAGGGATGCAGCTTTCGTGAGCTGTCACCTGTAGTAGCCTCCCACTCATGCTTCTGTAAGCAACCCCACAGACTGACTAACATTAGACTTAGGTGGAGCTGTGGCTTTTGTATGTTATCAGTGTCTTATCTGTTTGTGAGTTGATATTTATTCACAGCTCTGCTGGAAAGTTCAGACAACATCTATGTTTGTTTGCAGAGATGCTGGCCAGGCTCTGAGGTTCAGGGAGCACATTTACTGTACTACAGGACCAAACACCTGTGAGTTCCAGGGAATCCTAGAGCAAAGCCAGTCCTTTGAAAAGCAGCACAGATCGTGGTTTGGGACTCAGGGACCAGGCTCTGTTGCTGTCCCCAACTGGGTAGTTCCAGCCAGAATTTCCCTGTGCTGCTGGTTGCCCCAGGCCCAGCAGTTTCACCCCTCTTTCCTGGTAAGCTTCAGCTGTCAACTTGATACAGCTCAGAGTTGTCTGAGGATGTTTCTGTTGGGGGATTGCCTCTGTGGGACATTTTTTCCCCACTGCTAACTGATGTAGCATGCCAGTTCACTGTGGGTGAACCCAAGGCAGGAAACCCTGAGCTGTATAAAGATGAGCAGATGGGAAGAAGCAGGAACCAGTATTCCCCCGTAGTTCCTGCTTGAGTTCCCTCCGGCATCCCTCCTTGATGGACTATGGCCTGGAAGCATAAGGTGAAATAAACACTTTCCTCCCCAAGTTGCTTTTGGCCTTGGCCTTGGTCTTTATCACAGCAACAGAAAGAAAATTAGAACACGCTCTGTATGCTTCATCAACAGAATGAGGTCCTTGCCGTATCTACCTCACAGGGGCATGCTGGGAAATGGAGAGAACGACAGAGCCCACACAGTAAGTACACTGAGGCTCACCGTATCTGCTCAGTAAACAGAAGGGTGGTTCTAGAGGGGGTGCTGAGTTGAATTGTCTTTCAAGCAAGAGCTTTATTGTCTCCAGTCGTCAGACAAGTACACAGTGCACTGGGAGTCCGGGGCCTGGTCTCTTGACATCACCCATGAGTGGATACATAGTTATTTTTCTGTTGCTGTGACAAAATATGCAGACAAGAGTAAGTTAAGGAAGGGAGGGTTGATTCTGGCTCACAGTTTGAAGGCACACAGTCCATCATGGCGGTGAAGGTACGGCAGCAGGATCATGAGACTGGCTGGTCACACTACCTCCGCAGGCAGGAAGCAGAGAGAGATGCTTTTGCTGGTGCTCAGCTCCCTTTCTCCTTCTTACTGCGGCTGAGAACCCCAGTCTCTGGGGTTTTGCTGCCTACAGTTAGGTGTGTCCTACCTCAATTAATAAACCCAGTCTAGATGTTCTCCCACAGACATGCCCAGATGCTAACTCAATCTATGATCTCCTATAGGTATGCCTGGAGGCTGGCCTCCAAAGCGAGTCTAGGTCCTGTCAAGTTGGCAATCAATCTTGGCCATTAAAGGGCACAGGGCAGGTGGAGATGGTGGTGGCGGTGGAGGAGGAAGTGTTGTGCTACAGGGAAATGGGACTATACCAAGAGACACAGTTACCTTGTGTTTCTGAATGAGGATGATGTTTGGAAAGTCTCCAAGTATTGTTCTTAGTTCTCTTTTGAAGTTCTGGTAGAAGAACTTGCTTTGGATGCAGGGTGCCTGGAAGAACAAGGGGCTGAGTGAAGATGCAACATGACAGTGGTGACGTGTCCCCATGTTCTCCATTCTCTGCCTGGTGCTGTGCTATCTGGAAGGCCCAGTTTTCCAGAGGAGAGGGGACAGATCTCTTGTCTGTGTGATCTTTCACTACATTTTGCACAGTAGCTGCCATATCTGAACTGTTGGAGATGGTGAAAAACATGAGAATTTTATTTCACAAGTGGAAGTGAAATTTAGGTGGATAATGCTGGGGAGAGGGGGGAGAGGGGGCAGACATGAAGGGTTCTTAACTTTTATTCTTGGCAATGATTTATAGAGGAAAAGGCAGAGTTCAGTGGTTAGAAGCCTTCTAGGACTCTTCCAGCCTCCTATGACTCTTCCTGCTGCAGCTGGAAACTGGCTATCTTTTCTGAACATTTTCCAGTTCACTTTCAGGGCCACTTGAGGGACCAATGCCTGTGCTGTGTTCCCAGAGGTTCTGACTCAGTTGTGTTGTATAGTAATTTACTCCGGCTGAGACATTCCATATAGGCAGGAAGCAACTCACAAGTCTCAGAAAGTCCCTGAAACATACCAGATTCACAAGTCTCCTCCCCTGCAAAGGGTTACATAAGTGGTAAGGACTGATGAGGAGAGGAGATTCTTCAGTTTGTTGAGCTTCATGCAAGTTGTGTGGAGAGTTCCATGGTTCCAGCTTTTGTGAGTAGCCATCCAGGTTGGGGTGGGCTTTTAGTGATGTCTTTGATTTCTTCCTGTTCCTGTGAGCAGCTCTAATGAACTTGTTAATGAACTTGTTGCTTTGCCAAGTTGGACGTGGTGTAATCATTCTTTGGTTTGTCTCCGGTTCCTTCTCTGGGGCAGGTAGACATTTGCTCACAGCTTCCCAGGAATAATGTCACACCAACAGTTGCCCTCTTCTGGTGGGCCCACAGTGGCTCCCACAAACCCACGGTTGGCGGTTAGTCTCATTTCCCTTCTCCCCTTTGGGGGCACCCTGGTCCGACTTTGAAATCAGGAGAGATTACATGCCTCGGGATGTGGGTAGGCTTGCCTGATCTAGGTTACTCAACTCAATCCAAGCACAGCCACGGCTGTTCACCGGCTGTTCTACGTCAAGGCACATGTGATGCCTTCCAGGAGATACAGATGGGGTTTTTGGGGTAGTGCTGGGTCTGGGATTTACCGATGGTCCATTCAGAGTGGCTCAGGGTATGGACTCCAGCTGCATCTTGGACCGGGAGACCCCTATGGGGTTGCTTCCCCCTCTCTTTCAATGGGAAGGAGTCACACATGAAAGTTCCAGAAAGAACGCTGGGTGTGCAAAGGCCGAGTGATTAGAACGTGGAGTGGTTGAATGCTGCAAGTCCTGAGAGGATTGTCTTGGAGCATCTTTAGCTTCCCTTTAATCAACATCTATGCCTTAGCTACACCCTTTGGCACGTGTGGACAGGCCCTTCACTTTCACCAACTGAAAGACTATCGTCAGACAGCACCTACAGCCTACAGCAGTTCCCTGCTTTGCTGTAGAACCCACTTACCCATGGACCCACCAATATATTTGAAAAGTGTTTTATTTTATGATTTCCTTCATTCAGACACTAGCAAGGGTCCATGCACTTGCTCTCTAATTGGAACATGCATTTGGGAAAGCCTATTCATGTGTTCATGAGCACTCAGATTTGATTCCAGAAGAAAACTGTTTTATTCCTTGAGCTGTTTCTTTCATCAGCAAAAGACATACTGTACCTCAATAGGAGAAAGACACACACACACACACACACACACACACACACACACACACACAGAGCGAGATAGACAAACAGACACAGAGAATGTGTTAGTTTGAGAGCACACGTGGGTTAATTGCTGAGGTTGGTATCATGGTCTTAGAATGCATGACAGTAGTTCCTGAACTTCAGGGTCATTTCATGAGTGCTCTGAAAGAGGCTGGGGAGGGCTCAGGGAGTGACATGTTTGTCACACAAGCCTGGCCACCCAAGGCCAGGGTCTCAGAAGCCACAGAAGAGCCAGGTGCTGCAGTGTAAGTGGCTCTCGCCCCTATAGTAAACGGGGGGTGGGGGGGAGGGTGGCTGAGTCCGGAGAGTGGGCCATGCAGCCTGGTGTGCACAGTGGCAGAGGAACACGGTGGAAAGGGAAGGACCTCGTCTGACCTCCACGTGCACGCTGTGGCAAACTTGTGTCTGTCCTCCCTGCCCCTGAGAATGTGGATCCACCAATGAAATGCTTACCTTGCAAGTGCAAGCCCCCAGGCCACACGTTAAAAAGCAGGGCCTGTTGGTGAGTACTTGTGACCCCCGCACTGGGGAGGCAGACAGGCAGATCCTGGGGCTCGCTGGCCAGCTGGCCGTCCTACTCATGGAGCGCAAGGCCAGGGAGAGACCCTGTCATAAAAACAAGCTGGGCAGCACCTGAAGGATAACACCTGAGGTTGTCCTTGAAATTCTACACACAGGTGCACACGCACGCACATGACATCACACACATGTACCTGTACACTCTCGTTCGCTTGAATCCACACAAACACATGCACAAAAATAGAAATTACAAATTATAAAGTCACAGGCGCTTAAGGAACAAAATATTTTTATTATTAAAAATTGTACCCATAGCACCGCTCTGCCTTTCTACAGGTTGAGGGGGGAGGGTTTGTTTTTATCTTTAATAGACTCTGGTTTTCTGTGCCACCTCATCAGAAGGTTTCATAGGGAAAGCTTCAGGACTCCCCTAGGCCGGCAGGTGAGGCTGGGAGCTCCCCGCTGGGAACCCCACACCGTTCTGGCCTCTCAGCCTGGTCCCTTGCTGCTAGTCTGTGGACCTGGGCTCAGCAGGAGAGCATCCGTGCTGTGAGCCGGGAATCCTGGGATAATGAAAACCCATGCTAAGAACCTCTATGCAAACATACCATGCTCAGGCCAATCAAGATCAAGTTCAAACACCCAAAAAACTTTCCAGAATACACATCATCCTTGTGGGCTGTTTTGCCTCCTCCTGGGGCTCCAGGTAAAGGAGACCCTCCCCTGCTGGAATGGGGGAGATGCCGAGGAAGGCCAGTGAGAGGCCGGGCTGCTGCTTCCTCTCCGGCTGTCTGTGCCCTATGAAGCCACCCTCGAGGCTCAGCAGATCACACCCAGAGAGGAAGGCTTCACAGGACTGCGCAGTCGCCATAGAGTCATCGGTAGACTTGGCCATCACTCATCATCAGACACCCACGGAGGGGACTTTTCCAACACGACAGGAGAAGGCAGAAAGAGCACCTGCATCCTGCCTGTTTGGATCTTTTCTCGGAATCCAGACTTGGATCCAACGTCCGTTTTGCACGTGTGTGATGTGTCCACGCCACTGCTACAGTGAGAGGTTAGGAAGGACATTTGCCAATGTCCCATGGCTCTGCAGGCTGAAGTCTAACTAAACACTCCATCCCCTGCCTTTGGTGCAGGGGCCCTGAGTGGGACAGAGTCCCTCTAAGCCAGCGGTTCTCAGCCTTCCTAACGCTGTAACCTCTTAAAACAGTTCCTCATGGTGTGGTGATCCCATCCATAAAAGTATCTTCCTTGCCACTTCAGAGCTGTAGTTTTGCTCGTGTTGTGTAAATATCTGATATGCCAGGATATCTGTGAAAGGGTCTTTGAACGCCCAGGGGGTCGTGACCCACACATTGAGAACCACTGCTCTGAGTGCCGGGTTTGATGACAGCTGCTGGCAGCCGTGTATCGGCAGTCTCAGAGCCTGCGCATCCTGGAAAGACCTTTCCATAGAAAACAAGTTACCAGTCCTAAAGGGGACCCAGGCAGTGCTGCTGCCTGCTGAGTCTTCCTTTGTGAGGATGCCCCATGGAGTCTTGCCTCAGACTAGACCATCCCAAGGATTCCCCGCTGATTAAAGCAATCAAGTCCTTATGGCTTAAGGCGCTACACAGAGCCAGCTTGGTCCCTGTCCTCTGCTGGGTGCCACCTTCCAGACAGTTGGGGACCTGTGGTTTTCAGTCCACGCCACTCCTTTGGGGCCAGGGAGGGGGCGGTGCTGTCCACTGACGGGGTCCTGCGTGTGGACCCCGAGGGTGGCTGTCCCCACACAGAGCGGCTCTGGGCAGAGCATCTAGGATTTTTGGTTTAGAATAGCTCCCCTTCAGCTCAGAAAAGGACAGAGGCAGGAGAGAAGAGAGGCAGGGGAAGGGTGAGGGAGAGAGGGAGAAGGGAGATAGGAAGTAAGGGAGGAGGGAGGGGTGAATAGGAGTGTAAGAAAGGGGAAGGAGAGAAAGGGGGGCAGGGAAGGAAGAGGAAGGGAGGGGGAAGAAGAGAGAGGAAGAGGAAGAGGAAGAGGAGAGTAGGAAAGAGGAGGGAGGGAAATCTTTTACTCTGGATTTTGGAAAAATTGAAAGACCTTTAATTTATTAATTTTTTTTAACCCTAAGTGGAGCCTGCAGTGTGGTGTGAGCCACCAGCAACTTCCCAAGTCAAGACAAGGTTCATGTCCCACTGAAGGCCTTGAACAGGTTGCTCCTGCTCAGGGCTCCAACACCCTTCTCACTCTCTGAGTGCCCCAGGGCGTGGGGTCCAGACCTGGGCCTGAGCCGGGGGGTGGCAGGGTGCTCATGGGGTCAGAGCGCCACTTCTCATTGAGCGGAAAACATTTAAACAACGACAATTAAAGGAAAATGCTCTCAGAAAACCCATTAAGGCTAACCAGCTGGCCTTGGATGGCGGGGTAGAGAGGGCAGCACCAGGGGCCGGAAGCGGACGGCAGCGAGCACAGGAGGAGGAAGGGACGGGCTGTCCCACTGTGTGGGGTGCGCTAGGTGATTCGCGGCCCGGGTTGGTTTCTCAGAGCCGATTGTTTTATTTGGAGACACGGTCGCTTCTCGTCTTTCCCACGTACAAAGCTGAACAATGAATTAAAAGGCACCTGGAGACAGCAAAGACGCATTCATTTTCATGTGACATAGTTTAAAAAAAGATAAAAAGGTTTAAAAAATACTCTGGTTCAACAACGCAGACCTGCTACTGCCACAAGCAACTGCAAAAACCGCGCGTCTCCTCCTCTCTTGCTCAGCGGGGGGGGGGGGGGGGGGGGGGGCGTGTGCTGTGTGCTGTGTTGTGTGGGCATCGGAAGGACCTGGCTGGCCAGGGCTGGGCCCGGTGGCCTCCAGAGCCTTGGGGGGAGGAACTTCCTGTCCTTGTAACTGTCAGCTTGAGAGGAGAGAGGAAGAGGGAGGGAAAGGAGAGCGCCGGGAAGCTCCTACAGAGCTGGGCCCTCCGGGGCGCAGCGGCCTGGCTGGACCGGGCAGAACGCGGGGTGGGGACGAGCCAGTCTCTAAAGCCCAGGCGAGAGCCGGGACCTCGAGTTGTTCAAAGGTGCAGAAAGTGATCCAGGCTGGCCGGCTCTCCCAAAGGAGGTAGAGAGAGAGCTGGGCCGCGGATGCGACCTCCCCGCCCCCCTCCGCCCTCCCTCCCAGCGACCCCGACGGTCTGGAGGCCAGAGATGCCCCGGGCTGGGGTGTGTCGAGAGCGCCCCGCCGGCGGTGCCGAGCTATCGCACCAGGGAGATACCTTCTCTTAAAAAGAAAAGAAAACAAAGGAACCCCGCTTCCTGCAGCGATGTTACAAAAAGCCATTAAAAAAAAAACCTTCCTAAGTGAATCCTAGTTTTCACCAGTAGGTAAGATCGCTTCTCAGAGTTATCATTATCATCATCATTATTATTATTTTTAAACAAAAAAAAAGTTCAGCTCAGTTATCGGAGTTGATTGTCTTAACAAAAATAGACTCCAGAAGTTCTGCACCCGTCTACCCGGATGGAGGCGTGACGTCACACGAAGGAGGAGAAGCCGGTGAGCGGCGCCCGGGCTCCCGGGCCGGCTGGCGTGTAGACTCCGCCCGCGCTCTGCGTGGTGATGACGGTGTGCAGGTGCGGGCCGGACTCGGCCCCCGCCACCGCCTCGTACCTGTGCGGGGCCGCGGCAGGGGGACGCCGCTTCCAGGAGTTGTAGTAGGTGGGGTCGCTCATGTAGTGGTTGACGAACGAGTGCTTGGGCAGCGCTTCCTCGTAGTCCGAGTCGGAGGCCTGCGGGCGGGACGGAGGGGCGGTGTGAGCCACAGCGCGAGGGCGGCAGGTCACCGGGCCAGGCTTTGAGAGTTTAAAGGCTGGCCCCATTTCCAGCCTCTGCCTGGTCTCCCCGCCCTCCCTGCGTCCTGGCTGTGTTTCGGGGTGGGGCTCTTAGCTTCCTGCTCCAGCTGCTATGCCCGCCTGCTGTCACGTCTTCCCACCGCGACGCTGAGGGACCCTGATTCCTCTGGACCCTTACACCCTAAAGAACCCTTCCTTCTGTGGGCTGCCTTGGCCATGAAGTTTTGTCATGGCAACAGAACAGTAACTAATACACAGACGGAGCTCTCTTCACAGTCATCCACTCAGGGAAGAAGGCTCCTTGGCTTTAATGCAGAAAAGGATTTCGGGAGAAGCCAGGGAGAAGAGTTAAGAGTTTCTTTTGATTTTACCTATTTATCTTTGCGGGGTGTGTCTGCACCTGTGTGTGGCTTCACATATCCATCTGCGCCCATGTGGGAGGTAAAGATGCTGAGTGTCCTCTACTTTTCTGTCCACATTATTTTGAGACAGGGTCTCCCAGTGGATCTGAAACTGGCCATTTCCCCTTGGCTGGCAGGCCTGGGAGTCACCAGGATCCTTCTGTCTCTACCTGCCATGCTCAGCTTTTATGTGGGTACTCAGAATGTGAACTTGGGACTTCTTGCTTTCACAGCAAAGTGAGCCATCTCCCCAGCACAGTTAGAGTGTGTGTGTGTGTGTGTGTGTGTGTGTGTGTGTGTGTGTTACATATGTTAAATACATATTTAAAAGTTGTGTTTTTGGGCTGGGGAGATGACTCAGTGGTGAAGAGCACAGGCTGCGTTTTGAGAAGAGGGAGCTCGATTCTCAGCACCCACATGGCAGCTCACAACCATCTGTAATTCTGTTGGATCTGGCACCCAATTCTGGCCTCCTTGGGTACTTAATGTCCACGGATACAGACATACATGCAGGTAAAACACCCATACACACAAAAATGAAAAGATTTATTTTTAGACACAGGTCTGTGTCTGTGCATGAGTACAGGCAGTTCCTCTGGAATCCAGAAGAGGGCGGCAGACCCCTGGGAGTGGAGTTAAAGGCGGTTTCGAGACACTTGATATGGGTGCTGGGAATCAAAAATTGGCCATCAGCAAGGACAGTACATGCTCAACCTGAGCTGTTTCTCCAGCCCCTTAAATTATATTTTGAATATTGATGAGAAGCACTGGGATTAAGAGGAAGATGGGGGAGGGGCAGGACAACACCCTGAGAACATGTGGCCTTCTCCAGGAAGAATTACCTTTCTGCATCTTTACACTATTTATACACATCATTTTGGTGGGGGTTGATGCTGGTTTCTTCAAAAGGTTGCTAAGAAAGATAAATGAGGGTTCAGGAAGGTACTGAGTGGCGCCTGACAGGACTTCAATTGATAGGGTAAAAGTAATTGAAGGGGAGAGGGTTGCGGGGGGGAGGTGGTTGCTGGGGAGTGGGGCATCTTTCTTGAGATTCCCAGAAATGTCTGGGAGAAAAACGAGGCACCACCTGAGGTCATATGCATTCAGCCTGAAGCCTGGTTCATTGCTGTTTACTATCAAGTATCTTTATACAGAAGGAATGTTGTCTCTGTGTCCGCACACTTCACAGTAAATGTCAATCATGCTGGAATTCTTAATTCTCAGCTGGTGGGAGGTTTCTGGCAGACTCCAGAGTGTGCGTGTGTGTATGTGTGTGAGTATGCTTTTCTCTCTCCTTCCTTTCCCCATCATCGTCCTCTTTCTAAGCTGCCTCAGAAACACGCACGTGGAAAGGACTGGGAATGCTCCTGGCCTTTGATCTGCAGGTGACCGAGTGTGGGCTGCTAAGGACCAAGAGAAAACTTCAGCATGCTGGGAAGACACCCCGCTGGCCTCTTGTGACAGCCACACTGTGTCCACAGAGGCTCAGAGTCTGCAGCAGGGGATGCTGCCAGAGTGCGCCAGTGCCTGCGTCTACATCTGATGTGGTGCTGGCACGTCAAGCACCCTCCGCTTGGGCTGCACTGGGCTCGGGGAGATGCTACCGATGGTCCCTTTGAGGGTCTCAGTTCATTTTATACAGTAAGCCAGCAGCACCTGAATCATTCAGTCAGCTCGCCCTCCCTCCCTCCCTCCCTCCCTCCCTCCCTCCCTCCCTCCTTCCCTTTCTCCCTTCTGCTTTTTGAAACAAGGTCTCACTATGAAGTGCAGACTGGTCCCCCTCTTGCGATTTCCATCTTCTTGCCTCAGCCTCAGGTTCTGGGATAAAAAGGTGTGAGTCAAAGCAATGTCTTGCTGAGTCTGTGTGTTTTCTCTTTTCTTATATTAAGTAAAATGATTTTCTGCTCTTTGCGTTGTCATGGAAAAGACCACTAAAGGAGACGAAGGCTGGAGTGGGTCATATGGAGTCTGCGTTGGGCTTCTGCTGTTACACCCCATCCTTCTAGACATGTTTTTAGCCTCCATAGTTTCCAAGTTGGACCTCTGGAAAACTGCCTGGTAAGACCTGAGTCTGGGAAGCTGGTTCAGGTGCCAGGAAGTTTCCTAGACCTCTGGAGCCCCAGCAGGTTCCTCACTGCCTCTGACAGAGGGCATCAAAGGTCACAGACACCTTAGCTATGCCATACAGCTCTGTCCCCTACAGCTCTGTCCCCAGTGAGGCAACCATAGTTTTGTCAGGAAGCAGGGCTGGGAGACAGGCTTCTTAAGGCAATACAATGTCCTAGGGTGCTGGCAGCTCCTATTTCTCGCCTGAGAGTCTCACCAGTCTGAGAGTGAATGACCCACACTAACAGCTTGCTGTCCCTAAGGGAGAGGTTGTGTTCTTGGCATGAGATGCTTCTGGAACTGTAAGAGCTTGCACAGCCCCTGGTTGGTACATATAGGATGTGCAGGGCAGACCCAGAGGCTCCTGGGAATTTTTGGATACAAATAGAAAATGGGATTCCTAACACTAACCTCAAAGTAACTGCAAGTAAGAGGTGGCATTTTGGGGACACAGCTTGCAAACCCTGTGTGAGGATACCAGACATGGCTGTGCCTCTTCTGGGTTTTGATTCTCCAAAGTTAATGTAAAAGTAAGGCTAAAATATCACCTGGCATGCTCAGCTTTCAGCTTTCCCATTATCTAATGACTATACACACCACCTAGGGTGCTTTTTAGTGAGTGGGTTACACATGAGAGCAATTCACTCACTCACAGAGCCTTTGCATTTTCCCAGTGATTCTGAGGTGTGGACATCACTATTCTCATGTAACAATGAGCAATAAAGCTCAACGGAGTCTGGAAGGTTTGGACCTCACACTGACCGCTCAGCACCCCAAGATATTTTCACCATGCCATTCTAGGCAGGAGCTCTCCCAGTGAGTCATACCCCAACCCCTCACTGGGGGATTCTAGGCAGGAGCTCTCCCACTGAGCCACACCCCAGCCCCTCACTGGGGAATTCTAGGCAGGGGCTCTACCACTGAGCCACACCCCAGCCCCTCCCTGGGGGATTCTAGGCAGGGGCTCTACCATTGAGCCATACCCCCAGCCCTTCATTGCAGGATTTGCAGTAATTACTCTACCACTGAACTCCAGTCCCAGATTTTCACTGGGGGATTTTCAGCAGGCATTCTACTGTTATGTTATGCCACCACATAGACCAGGATTTGTGGCTTTGATTCAGATATACCCTCCTGTTGCTTCCTAGCCTAGGTCTTGAGACTTCGGAGGCAGTGCTCTATGTAAACCAGGATTGGAAGACAAGGGAACAGAGACAGGACAGAGCAGTACTCTTTGTGGTTGTTTGCTCTGGACTGAGTCTGTGCCATCTTCAGACACTGTCTCGGAGTCTAAATGCCCTGAGGCTTGAGGAGAAGGACGCTGAGATCCGTAACGCAATCTCTTTTCTCACGAGAACTTCCCTAGGGTGAAGACCGTTTTGTTCCCCAGTACCATAAACTGGGGTTAACTTAATTCTCCTCTGAGATGGCTTGAGTCAGTCTCTTTATTTTCTGTCTCAGAGATATAAGATCAACAAGTTGAAATGAGCTTCTCAGGCCATGCCCACAGCATGGGAATCTCAGCCAATGGTGGGGGAGCGGGGGATTAGAGCATTTGCTGTGGACTCCAAGACAGCTTTTGTCAGTTCCAGTCTGAAATGGTGTGGGTGGGTGTTGGCTCAAATGAGCCCAAAAAATGAAGGAGTCATCTACATCAGTGGAACGACGGTCTGTGAGTCCTGCCTCTGTGAGCCCCTAGCATCTACCTGGAAACCCTTGGACTGGAGAGAAGCAGGGTCAAGAGCAGGTTTGACCTCTGGTGGGCTAGGATGGACTGCTGCAGTTCTGTGGGAGTCTGGATATACATGTGTGTGAGTGCATGTGTGTGAGTGCATGTGGAGGCCAGACAACCCGGTGGATGTCTCAAGAGCCACCCATCTTGTCTTTTGGGACTGGGCCTCTCACTAGGACCTGTTGAGTCCTTATTTTGGCTGGGATGTCTGGCGGGTGAGCCTTAGAGATCCCCCTGTCTCTGCTTCCTTGACACCGAGAGAGGAAGTGTGTGCTGCCACACTCAGCACACGTGTGCTGGGGAGCGGACAGATCCTCAAGCGTGTACTGCACGCTTTACTGCCTGAGCTCTCTCTGGAGTCTGTACGCAGACTGTAGGGAGCACACATATGCTGTGACTCAGGCCCGCAGACATATGTGAGATTAACAAAATGCCATTTCGTTTATAAAGTGTCTTCAATATTTTAGTTAGGGACCAGATATGAAATGTTCCCAATCAGCTCCTGTGTTTGAACACTGTCCTGGCTGGTGGGCACAGAGCCTGGCTGAGAGATTTGTGGCCACAGAGGAAGAACTGGAGGGTTCAAGGCTGACTCCACTTCTCATCAGAGCTCTGTTTCCTGGTCCATGGAGATGTAAAGAGTCCCAGCTGAATGCCCCATCCATGGACACTGAAATGTCTGCCCCACCATGATGGAT